GCTGAGTCTGTCTCTGTACTTCGCTGTCATGTCATGCTCAAACAGGAGCACCCAGCTAGCATATGCTAGCAGCTGGCATGCTCTGAGCCTGCCTTTTGGCCAATCGAGGCGCTCGAGTCGAACGTTCCATGCTGGCATTTGGAAGCTGAATGCAGCTGAAAGCTGATCGTACATCAGTCCTCCCTCCCGTTCAGTCCTCCGGCTTGCCGCCAGCTGAGGAGCGCCTCTCTTTCAACACGCCTCATTCCACTCCAGGGGACTTGGATGCCTTCCAAAAGGGTGGTTGACTTGGATGCCTTCCCGTCTTCGGACCGTTTCGCTGTTTCGGCGCCACTGTTTAGCCATAAAGCTGAGACCCAAAGGTGTCGCCTATCGTGCGAGAAAAAAATAACTCCTGAAACTAAAGTGGTTCAAACATGTTCAAAAACCATCTTTATATATCCCGAAGTAGGCTGGCAGAATTCGGGGCCAAAAGCCTGGGGCCTGCCACTGTTGGGCCACCGTTTCAGCACGAAACACAGTATCCGTTTCAGCACCCGTTCGCCCAGCGACTCTTAACCATACAGCTGGTCTCTTCGGCATTGAGCGATCCGTCGCCATCAAAGTCGAACCTGTTGGACCGGGCTGTGAACCATCCATGGCCCATGGTCCAGGGCCCTGGTGTAGTAGTGGTACAAAAGAACAACCTCACATCTGGGATAAAAGAAAGGCAATACATATTATCATGTGGAAGTATATTTGGAGAGATCTTTGGCCTCTGGGAGGCCGGTAGTTGGTAGTAGATGACCTCCGATTTAAAGCCGCGATGCAGTTGGACAATGGGACTTGGTTCATGCTCAAAAACGAAGGACATGTGCTAGCCACCGCTTGAATCGCTTTGATGCCGGATATTGCTCGCAAAGTTTGAGAATTGAAGTGCTTACAGGCCTGACTGAACAATTATAAGGGCATGAAAAAAAAGCATAGCTCAGCACAAGCAAAACACCATGTACCGCTAATGGACCAGTTATGGCATGAAACATGAAACAAAGCGCCGCCTTGCTTTGGATTTCAAAATGCTGAATCAACAGCCCCACAGTCTTTGCAATTTGCCTAAGCCTAGCACCCAACCTCTCTGACCGGAAATCTTCCGAAACCCACAGCTAACCCCACAAACCTGCTGCAACCCTCAGGCCCAGCGCAGCAGGGAGTGGGTGCAAACTGGGGTTCCCCGCTGCGAGAATTGCAAATCCAAATCCTCGAGCTTCGGCGTTCACGTTGTACCAACCATGTTGTACCAAAATCCTCACTCCCCTTCTATCATGCGCGCCATAGACTCATAGAACCCTCTCACCATCTGGGGCTTTGTTTGGTCTGTCTGGATTCCCACAGCCAGTACCCTTGCCGTTTTTGCGCGCCCAAACCAACGCTCAATGTCAGACCTAATCTATGGACAGGCGAGTCTCCAAGTTTCCCCGCTCTGCCTAGAAAAGCGCATGAATGGACTGTGAGCCAGCCCCCAACCGCATCCCAGTGTGCTTACAAGAACAAACAACATGCCAACCCCAAATTGAGATCATAATCTGTGGAAGGCATGTAGCAATGTGAAGCTGGACTTAAGAATACTGTATCAATACTGAGAGCTTCCACTTCTTGGAACCATCCGATGGGCGTATTTTTTTTGTTGCGTTGCTTTCCGAAAGTGCGTTTTACGCATCCAAGGATCATAGAAGAAGGAGTCCGGCAACTCCAGCTTCTGCACTAACCTCAGCCGAGGTCCCGGGTCGACGGGCCGGGTGGCCAGGCGACCTGGGCGTGAAACGGCTTCGACTGTGCAGCATACAGGAGAGCTGTTGCTCACAGCTCTTGAACTACTTACGGCAAATCTTAAATCTATCCGATGTGAATTCGTCAGGTATGGTCAGGCCAACACATGTCCCGGTATTGGAGTGCACCAGTCCACTAAACAGGATAGAATTTGTCTGTGGTTCTCACTTTTGGTCCCCTGCCACACTTTCCATCATTGCGTTGACTTGGTTGTCTAATTGCCTTTCCAGGTTTCAGCAAACGGTTCATGTGTCACGAAGTCCACTAAATTGGTCATCGCTGATTTTAGCGGTTGCTCCTGTGAGGGTGATTGAGGCGGTCTTTTGCCGCCTCCGTAAATGTCCCAGGACCAAACAGCCAAGAAAATGCAAACCAGCAAGAACGGGCAAATAGTGGCAAACACATGCAAATTAGATAGGTGTTCGCACATAGAACAAACAAAACATCTGGCCATATCTGGCCATTGAATTGCATCATGCTGCATTCTTCACCCCCAGAAATCCACTCTCCACCCCCCAAACTCAATCCCCCCTACTCCGTCATGCGGCGCAGCAATCATCTGCCGCGCTTGCGGCAGCGTCAGCGCCGGCTTGCCCTCGTGGTCGCGTCCTGTGCAAAGTGGGAAGCCAGGAGCCCCGGACCGTGATCAAAATGACCTCGAACTAATTAGAAACCACCAAACTGAAGTGGTTTGTACTTGTAGGGGGGTTCTGGGAGGGGGACCGCATTTAAGGTTCAGAAGTGGCTTCAGATCTAGAAATTCAATCCTTCCCCGTTGGCCAGATTGAACCACAAAGCACCACCCATTACACCTCATGCCAAGAGTCTCCGAGCAACTTAAAATCGGTCTGATGCTATACGCCTAAAACATCCGCAAAATGGTCCAAAAACCAGGAAAACCACACATGATATTGCTTGCTGCACGATGATCCTCAGAAGACTTTGCCATCGACCCGCAAACACCCCGGGTGGGCGAGCGCGCCAGCGCCTGTGGCATATTTCCGGAAAAGCACTCGAGTGTTGGACTTCGTGCTGCCAGTGTGTTTCAAAAAGGCATCCAGGGCCTTGTAACCATTCTCCTGGCGGAAGGAGGAACGATCCGTGGCACGGACGTCCTGGAGTTGATCAACCGCAGCTGATCATTCACATCGAGCGTTGGACCAATCTCCTACAAGCAGCTAGCAATCAATAGTGCAATGTATTTGTTCCATCAGCAGGTCGAGTCTGCAACAATCACAATAGCCTCCATCTCCAAACTGATCACTGGTCTTCAATCCGTCTTGCGGACCCAATGACGTCCAAGAAGTCATTCACTCTAGTGGTGGTGAATGGATGGTCACCAAATGTAAAACCTACTTCTCAAAGAGCATGCATTTCTTGCTGGAACACCTGTGGGGCCCTGCTGAGGTCCTTGTGACACATGTTTGAGACACAAAACATGTGCTTCTCACTGTCGAAAGGGTGGCAACAGTGCTCGGTTGGGACATTGGACCAAGGACCAAGTTCATTGAATTTCTGCACCAACTCTTCGCACTCGCTGGTCACACCAAAAAGTCGATATCCAGGCCTCAACGAAGCTGTGGTAGCTCGGACTGCGCTTGAAGAAAAATGCACTAATTGAGCCAATCCGGAGCTTGATGTCCCTGGAAATCCTACGTACGGTTTAGTGCTCCTAATTCACCTTAGCGATCCTCAGGTCCGACGCTGTTCACGTGCTCTTCAGCGCAAAACGCTTCCTAAAACTCCGCAAAACGCTTCCCAAAAGAGTCTCTCCACTCAGCGAAAGCATTAGCAGTCCTTTCAATACCGGCTTTGCTCCGTGTTGCGGTTGCCCCGTCCTTCACACCAGATGGAACTTGATCCCACTGCCGCTGCATGAAAGAATGCCTCCGGTGGGTCGCTGGTCTGTGGGTCGTTGATGGGTCGCTGCAAGATTGCGTCGCGGAAAGAGATGATGATGATGATGATGATAGCAAGGGATCGATGGTTGCCATAAGGCGCCAGTTGGTTGGTGCGTACAGGAGTTTTAATGAGTTTTATGATGTTTTTTTTTTGTGTGTTTTTGTTGTTCTCCCTTTTCCTAGTGGCAAATTCCAGATGCATCCCGCTATGTTCCATGTTCTACTAACTGCTTCATAGACTGGTATCAAAAAAACAAACTCTCTTGGGCTAACGCATGGCCAGTCTGACCCCGTCAAGTAAAACCTGGTCTTTGTCTTCCAAACGAGTCGTGCTTTTCGACCCAACTCCAGTATTCGAGGTCAAACCTGTAGTCTGAGTGATGAACTCACCGTCTGTTGTTTGGTCAAACCGATCACCCTTTTGGGGACCATCCACGTATCTCCACGTGAGCGACCCACGCCGCGCAACCATGATTCTTTCAGTGAGCGAGCGAGTGAGTGTAGTTCTAAAAGGAGGTTGGATGGTCAACATGTGTTGCGAGGTTAAACGTACACATGGGATGGCCCGAAAACATATCTATAATGGTACCAACTTAGGTACCACTATATAGCAGCATTGATCGAAGCAAAACAATACACACTGTACACACGTGTGCACATGTACAGCCTGCAAACCAGCATGGAACTCAGCTAGGCAGCTACGTCCCCCCCCCACCGCAAACCTTCTCCATGGACCGGCACCTGCTCCGTGATTTCGGCGAGGCCATCCGCCCCCCACCGCGGATGACTTGGGTTCCCTCCCCCGGCGTACTGAACGCCGTCCGGAACTGCGGTGAAAAACTGCGGCCGATGGTCGGGAGCTGAGCGGACGTCCGAACCGACCGGAACAAAGGTGCTACATCCCATCCCCGAGTGGGGGGGTCAGTGCTGATCGCTTGCATGAGCATCGATGACGAGGTTTCTGTAACAGTTGTCAGGAGGAAATCAATTACGTTACACAACCAATTCAATGTGCCCGGCATATTTACGGACCCCCTTTCAGCCCCACCCACCCCAAGGTATAAATTTACAATCCCTCAAACATCCTCAAACAGCGCATGGAAATGGACAACCACCCGTTTGTAGAGGAAAGGAGCAACTTCCATGTTTGCTGGGAGGGAAGGTCTATATTATTCCATCATGAGGCATCCGGTATCTTATAGTATCGCCTCTATACCGGATCCATGGTGGGAACCTGTACTGGTACCTGAGCTCAACACCACAAGCTCCACGAGTTCTCGGTGAGCCCCGGACGTGCATCAAATGTTCATCCGCGGCACAATGCCTCGGCACGTCCAGCGCGCAGCTTCGATTCGAGCTCCTAGCCGCTCGGAGGATGGCAAGAGGTGACGCCGAAAGTCATTGCAAGCAATGCTTGAAGGGACAAGTGAGTTATGGGGGTTGTAGTGGGTGGTTTGCAAAAGGCTAAGGCGACTGCACATCGGGCACCAAAGAAGCTACGAGAAACTCAAAGAGTCTCCAAGGATGTACAGTTACAAAGACTCGAGCCGGTTGAAGGACAAATAAGGCAAATATCAGGAAAGAACATCCGACACAACCCGAGCTTGAGAAGCGTCAGCGCAACAGCACTGGGCGCGCCAGTGCCGTACTGCGAGAATGCCGTGTCCACTGGACATCTCTTCCGACCAGAAATGGCTCGACTGTTGACATGAAGGATCCAGCATCAACCACGCATCATCAACCATCTGAATTGACATCAATGAAGGTGTTCGAGCAAAGCAGTTTCGCAACTTGTCACTGTACAGGATCTCTGGACCGTTTGGTGCCTGTTTGGCACTACAGTGACGTCATCCCCCAGTTGAACAACGGCGAAAGCTTCGCGGCTCTTTCGCTCGGGCCGAACTCCAGAAGCCTCAAGAGCTCCCGATCCTTCACGCCCTCAGTGAACGAACAAAACCTCGCGCCACGCCGTATGGCGCCAGCTCCGAGTATCTCGGATGCTCCCCCTGTTTTCGCCGAGCGACACAATCATCTGTGCCTTCCGCGCGAGGGCCACGCGGACGGACTCCATGACCGCGTTGGAGAGGTCCTCACGGACCGACTTCCGACGCAGCGGTTGTTCGGCAGCGAGGTGACGATGCGAGGGTGGCGACACGGTGGCGACCACATGGAAGGCTGCTTGCTACAGTTTTGAGTTGCTGGCATACATGGAGGTCCAGCTGAGTCCACTGAACACGCATGGCGCTTAGCAACAACTACGTAGTAAAAAACTGCCACAAATGACAGTGATGAACACCTTCACCAAGAAAATATATACTTCTGGGGTGCAATTTGATCTGAAACATTACGTAGACATCGTCACCCATCAGCTTCATCACATTGAAAAGAACGCGCCAAGAATTGTTTGCTCCAATTAGCTAACCTCAATCACGTCCACCGCAAAACTCATCAATAGCAATGTCTCAAAAGCACAGGGGCATAAGAACATTGCAATTGTGCTGAGGAGTCACATCGGTTTTGGGCAAGTGCCTTCATTCATGCTACATGCCTCCATTGTCACTTTGAAAACACATGACTCCGAAGAAAAGGGAGGTGGCAAAACTGATGGTTGATGGTTCCAAGCCGACCTCTTCTCCCGGCCAGTTTCGACTTCCACTTGGAGTTGGAAGTTGCATACTGTACTTAGCTGTGCCCCAGAAAAGATGTCCCAGGTGGTTGGAACAGTTCCAATTCCACATCCAGTAAGAAAACACTATGTTGTGCCCAGAAGAAGATGAGCCTCCCCGGGTCGCAAAAGAAGGTGCTAAAAGGAAACGAGGCCACCGACTCGCACACCACGGTGGCTCGCTCACCCGTCGCGTTGGCTCGCGCCCCTTCGCCTCCAGCTCTTGCGGCGTCTCCGCCGGAGGCCGCAGCAACGCCTCCGTTAAGGTGGCCTGACGGGCGCTGCGTTTGGGGACCGGTCAGCGAGTTAAGGGGCGGTCCATGTGGGGACCGGGTTTCCAGACTTGGTGTGTCCCAAATCATCCCGAGTACCTATTTAAAAAACGGACCCCTATTAAAAAATCATGTCGGAAACCCCTAAATACCGTGCATAATCGTTTTTTGAATCGCTACTAAACTACCAACATGGCCGATTTTGGAGGAGTTCATTTTAAATAGGTTCCAAAAACAACCGTAACTGCCAACCTCTGTCCACCCTGTCTATCCACCATGACACGCCGTGTTTACACCAGCAGGCTTTCCTTCCCCCAATGGCACGGACTCACGCCAACGCACTTTCCCCCAATGGCACAGTGACATCACCTTTCGAAAGCTTTATATAGTTGTTAGTCTATATAATGAAGAATCACTATTCTAATAAAGGCTTTTGCAGGGGAAAATGAAGCACCTTCGATCTGGAGGTTTTTTCAATGTTTGATACGAGTTTAATAAATGATACGAGTTTAATAAATGATTTAATATAAAATTTCCTGGGTGACTTTTTGGTTTTGAACCCCTTCCCAGGTGACTTTATTTTGGACCACCCCGATTTCAGGGACCCCCGATCAAAAAAAGGCGACCGAGGTTTCCTTATTAGGGGGGGGGCGCGTGTTTTTTAATAGGTGGACCGGATTAGAAAGAATCGGTTTCCAGTTACAGGTTGAAATGGATGTTGCTTTTCCATTATCTCTTTGGGAGGTCCGTCTAAGGATGTTTAGGGCAAACATATATTGAGGACTCGACTCGTTCTTTCGATCTCTGTGTGTTTGGTTCGCTCTGGTGACGGAGGCTCTGCTGCTCTTCATTCATGAAGTCGTGGATGGCTCACCACACCACCACCCCTCCAGGCCTGGGGGTTGAACGCCACCACGGCATCCGCCACCAAACCACCGTGCAGCAGGGCACCGAAGCCCCCCATAGAGGCACCCACCTTGATGACAGGTCTGTCCCATCCCGTCCTCAAACACCACAGGACTGGCAGGATTGGAACTTTGAACATCCAAAGCCACCTGAACAACAACCATCGCAGCTGCCACTTTAGCGGCAACAAAAGAAACGTCCCCACACATGCATGTCTTTCCCCAAGTTGTTGGCAGTCCCACGCTGACTGTGCTGCCCCAGCGCGCAATTTCAGGCCAAAGCACGCACATCATCTTCTGGTACTTGGGTCGCAAAGTCTTCAAAACCTGTTGCAAAGCGCCACCTCAGCAAACCATCAAAGCCATCAATGTAACCCGCACGGGTGGTGTTTTGCTCGTGGTGTTTCTGCCAAGAATCACCCGTAGCAAAGCACATGTCAAACGTCCTGGTAGCAGGTATCGGTTGATCCCGAACTTTGAACCACTTTAAGCGTCAGCTCAGGACTGCTCAAAGATTGGAGTTCCTCTCCCAAGCTGAGCATGGATCTCATGAAATGTCATGAACAAAAAGCAGCGACATCGCCATCGCCAACATCCACACTCTTGTCTGAGTCAACAGCCACCCATGAGGATCATGAGGGAAAATAACACAAACACGACCATCAAAACTCAATCCGAGTGCTCGTAGTGCTCGAAATGGATCTTCAAAGGCGCTGGACATGACGGCTCCGACGGCTAAAACCACCTGCATGACCAACGAGGTTGTACAACCTCGACCGGGAGGTTTGTTGCGACGACCAGGTCGCCCAGGTTGCATCCTCTTCGCAAACAAAGCGCCAAGAACCAAATCCTCTTCGTGAAAACACCTCTATATCGCTGCTACATGCTGCTAAGCTGTCGCTGCTTGCTCTTGGACGGTTTCGCTCGCTCGCTCACCATTACGTAGTGCACTCTCCGGCCTCGAACGGGGTGGGACCTACTGCGGCCGCGCGGCGATCCTCGGCGTACCAACGCATGCGATGGTCCACCACCGTGAGCCTCGAAGCAAGCGGGGCGCGGGAAGGCGGGCGCGTTCGGGAGACCCTGGGATGAAGTGGATGGAGTGGATGAGATCCTTGAGATGTGTGGAACTTGTTGTGTTTTGTTTTTAAGAGATTTTGTATGATTTTGTTTGGGTCAGGGTGGGGCATATATCCAGCAGGAATTCACCAAGGCTTTGGGCTTGGTGATTTGTGGAACTGTTCATTTTGGCTCCCATTGATAGTCAATCCAACTCTCGAAATAGCGAAGCACATGCCTTGCACGAAAGGTCAAGGGCACATGTTTTTCTCAAACGTATATAATCGTAATCAAAACCGTTTCAAATCCCAAACGAAGACGAGATCCATGCGAGTTGTGTATACTTACACAACTCAGCTTAAAGGTCGAGTTGGTACACGCCCACCCGCCCTTGGCGACAGCTCCCAATTCCAAGATGATGGGTGAGAGCACATCACACTGACACCACTCCTGACACCTATATGGCAGTGGCACCTAACTCAGTTATCTATCAGTTGGGGCGTTTGACCTCCAGGTCGGGCACTATTGAGGCGGATTCCGGGCACATGGAGTGTCTGAGGTGGAGGGGTCTTCTACCAGCTCCACCCCCCCGCAGCCGCGCGACACATCGAAGTCGCCCAGCGGAAGGGCCGGTGTCTCCTAGCGCCCGCGACCACGGAACTCGCGGCGGACGATGCGGTGGTTGATGGAGGTCCCTGGAACGACCACATGGTTACGTGGATGGCCTGACCCTGAAAGGAAGACCATGAAATCCACTAGAAACATGCAGGTGGTGCCATCCACTTCCATGTTAGTTCTATATAGGGAGTGTATTTTTGGTAGATTTGGCCTCCTGGGTTGAGTCCAAAGTGCGGAAGACCTCCGTATGATGGCCGGCAATCCGCCCCATTTTTCCTTTGCCTCCCTATGATGGTGAAGCAACATCCCCTGTGTGAGAACAAAGTGGCCGGCAATTCGAACGGGTTCATCACTTCCTATGATTGATGCGACCTGGAATCCACGTGATTTCGGAGACATTCCCATGTGGAGAACGTCCGGTAGTCCATGTGCTCGTATGTGCTCGTACGCTTTAGAACGCTTGAGGTCTTTAGTTCCTTTTGTTTAAATATAATATGTATAATATACGTTCCTAACTTCAACACATTCATTTTCACGTGCATTTTTCACGTGCTCTTCTCCTGGTTCAGTCCGCACGCCGCGCCGCTTCGCCCAATCCGTCTGTCCTCCGGCGGTGCTTCGGTCGAAGCCTCCTGAGTGCAATGAGTCCAAAGCCTGGCGCGGTGCGCGGCCCGCGAGTGCCTTCTGCCCAAGCGAGGCACCCCGGACCTCCCGAAGAGCTCCACACTTGAGGGATATACGCTCCAGATAACATCCGGGTCTATACAACCATGCCCTTTTGGAAGTGGAGAGCCGGCGATGCTTCCGCAAGTGTGCCATGGATCTCCCAACGGCTGCATACCGCAAAAAAAAGGTCAAAAGGAGCCAGAGGGCGATTCACATCCTTGAGTGATAAAATGTCACAAAGAATGTTGACGAATATTTTAAAAATTACAGCACCCACCTGGAAGAAGAGGGTTCGACAATCCAACTATAGATAGAATATATAAGGGATCAAGGTGTTTTGTTATCAACAAATTATTCAAGGAATTCATCATAATTGTAGACTCTTGATTCATAACCCCCACCATTTGAAGTGGAACATCCTCTTCATATGGGGGGGGTTTATGAATCAAGGAATTCATCATTATTCTACCTCTAAACCATAGACCTGCAGGAAGAGTCTTCATCCTTCTACTGTTGATCCTCTACGCGGGGGGTTTATTAAGACACAAGATTCAAGAGTAGCCTCCAGTCGTACCTCAGACGGTATGACTGGACCCTTCTGGCACCCGCCCCAGTCCCACCTTCGAAACGAAGGTACGACTGGAGCATACTGGAGCCCTAGGATAGAAGATCTTCCAGATCCGTTGACCGACTTTCCGACTTGGTCGGCTCCAGCCAACCACCGGTCGCGTCGCTCCAGCCTGGCCATCCGAGCGTCGAAGTCGGCCTCCTGCGTGAAGGTGCCGCTGTGGTTTGCGGACGTTCCGGAAAGGGGTTGCGTGGATGCATGGAGCTGATCAACTTCAATCTGATGGATGTTGAATGATTTCCGAGCAAAAAAGAACTGACCAACTGAGTTCGTTCCTGCACACATGATTACGTGCAATTCGACCGGCCGAGGGGGAGTGTGTGTGCGGAACGACATGAACGACATGACGCGAAGAACCGAGACTCGATCCTGGGAGCCTGGGGTGCACCATCGAGGGTGGAGCCACCCAAAAAAACCGCCGAGCTTGCGAGCCTCTGAAAAGCCAAACATTCAGAAGTGCCGGTGTTGGGTGTATAGAGAGGTTGACTTCTGCACAGCACTCTGGCAAAGCATCTTTTCTTTGGGAACGATTGAAGTTCTTACCCACACCCAACAAGGTTCATGCATAGTGAAGGAGAGAGGGAACACCAGGGAACAGCTTCACATGGTGTTCTTCGTGATGCGCTTACCTTCAAGGGTGATGCTGTGAGACCTCCGCGCGTTTCAAGAATCCACCCCAGGTCCGCTGGATGAAAACGCCGCAAAGAACGACCCCAGTCGCTGAGGGAGGATCCAAGGTATGCCAGGTATGCTTCTCGGCCGACGACTGCATCTGACATGCAACTCGGCCTCCGCGAAGTCCAGGGAGGATCTGTGGCAACAAGGCTTCACCTGCCAGGCGACATCTGGAGCATCAGCTGGAGCTCTTCGGGGTCCTAGGCTGTCATCTTGCTCGAGCTCTTCACACCTACGCATCTATCACTTCGTTGGGCATCTGGTTGGAAGCGTCTGGCATAGAACATCGCCCTCCTGCAAAATCTCCTGTAGATCGAAGATGGGGCAAGCTAGATCGGAGCAAAAAGGGGAGCACTCGTGTGAGGATGGGCTCAACTTGACTGAACAAAGTGAAACAATGTGGGCTTCAAACACGAAGATTGCCTTCATGATTCATGGTGCTCATGTGTGGCAAACATATCACCGGTCATCCTTGTGTGTCAAGGCTTTAGTGAGTGATCAAAATGTTGAGGCCCAAATAGCAAAAACATGCGATTAAATAATGACACTCTTGACCAGTTTGGATTCCTCTTCTCTATGAACGTGGCCTGCTCTTCTTGTGCAGTGCACATTGATCCTTCATCAATTCTTCATTCCATCACGGCCCGTCCATCTTCGCCCAAAACATGACCTCTAGTTGAAGCACTGGCTGGGTAGTACAGCCACTCCCTTCTTCTGAGTCCATGAGCATCCAAGTACCAGCTGGATGACTACATGTGGCCCAAAACCTCAAGACTTCCCCAGCCTCTGGCCATACACTGCCTACAGTGAAACACCCAAATTCAGCCCAACCAAAGGCCTATCTGAATCGGCCAAGACACAAAGCAAAAGCAATGTTTCAACATGGTCTCATCCAATGAATGACATGGCTTAGCGTCACAGACCACTGACACCTTTTAAAGAGAACGCTTCCGGCCCTGATCACTCCGCGGCCTCCCCAACTTCATATAGCCGCCGTAGGAATCCCAACCACTCCGGCTCGCCCTGAGGACGGCCACATGGGGAGCCGCATGGAGAGTAACTCATGGGGAGCCGCAAGTGAAGAACCACAAGCCGAAACCCTAACGGAACCGGGGAAATGAGCTGGAACCAAGCACTTCTTGTTCCGTGAACTGCTTGTTTGGGGGGGAGTGTCTCAAATGTGTGGCGTGGTTCTTCAGTTAAGCTATGTTTAGCAACCGCTGGCGAACTCAATCCCAAGTCTGCCAATGGCCACTTGTGAAGTCAGGAAACTTCCAGTATGCATATACCTAGAACCTCGTTAGGCAATAATTTCCGCCCAACGCCATTTAGGCAGAAAATTCAGCCCGTTTTTGCAAAGAACGCCTAAGCTGCAGCCTCGAGGGTCAAAAACGCCAAGGCACAATCACATGCATTCTTACATGCAGGAGGCAGAGCCACAATTTGAATGAACAAAATTGAGAAAACAAACGCCTGCCACTTGACGCTAATCCCCAGTCTAAAGTTATTGAAACTCATGTCGCTCACTTCCCCCAAAAGGCTACCATTCCGTTGTCCGCCCAACTACTGATTGTTGTGAGGGGGGGAACGGGCAAGAACGCCTAAGTAACGGGCAAGAACGCCCAAGTAACGGGTAAGAACGCCTAAGTGACGGGAAGCAAAAAGATATTAAAGCAATGAATCAAAACATTGAAAAACTAAAAACATACAAAAAATATCACAAGAGAAACATTAAGTGAATTCCTGACAAACAAATGTACCTCACTATGAAAGTTCCTGGAATCAGTGGTGGGTGGATCCTCATCTATTCCAAAAGGACAAGAACGCCCAAAGGGGGCAAGAAGGCCTACAGGGGGCAAGAACGCCTAAGCACGAGCAAAGTCGCCTTTACCCATAATAGGCAGAAATTTCTGCCCAAGAAGAGGTTATAGGTATAGGCTAAATCAATCTTGAACTGGCTGAGTTCCTCCCCCCCTAAGAGCCAACGTCTTAACGAAAAAAGTATATAAAATTATATAAACAACATCTGCAGCCCACCAACATCCACCAACCATGTGCACATTGTCAACTTTGTATCATATAAAAAGACACATGCCAACTACAAACCCCAACCTCTCGTCCATCTGGAGCCTCGACTCGGCCGTCCGACCGGAGACGTCCAAAAACGAAACAAGCTTCGCGACTCGAACGGGGCTCCGAGGCACGGCCGCGAACCGAACGGATCCGTCGAATTCGACGGAGTCCTCTCCTGCGATGCCGCAAAGGCCACGATCAGCAGCTCGGGGTGGTCACTCTCCGCACGGTCGGTACTCCTGGCGAAGGCATGGTCTGACCAAACACTGAAGAGAATGGTCTGACCAAAGTACCTGAAGGGGGCAACTTCTTTTAATTTCAAAGGCGTTTAAAGGCCAAAAACATGGCCTGAAACTCGTTTACTGTGGATTTTCATGGATTTTCCCTTATACCAATTCTGAGACACAAATGAGTCAGCAAATTGAAATGATGTGATCTCTGAGGTGGCCCGAACAACATGGTGCAGTAAGTTCCGAAAAATCAGTTGATCAACAGTTGATCAACGCGATGTTCAGAATGCAGTAAAATGACGTTTTAGAGGGAGGTTCCATGCTGTCCCCTCATAAAATGGTATAGGCCAACATCAGCCAACTATAGAACCCAAACTCTGCGGATGTCACCACCAACTTGTGAATCAAACACCGAAACAATGTCCCAAGCCGCTGAAGAAACGTGCTTCAAGCCGCTGCTCACGAATAGCTTCGTTCAGATTCATCCAGCTTGCGTGCTAGCTGCATTCGCTCTGTCCTTCTCAAGCGGGATGCTTTGGTGAGCTTCAAGCTCAATTGGCTTTGGCCACTGATGGGAATCACCTGAAAAGGGGTGACGGGTCAGTTTGACAAACAGAACTGGAGGGGTTCATCTCAAAGTGACTTGTTACATCACATCCATTTCATGGCAGTGGAAATAACAAGGATTCAGGATGATATAGACAATGACGATCCCAAAACTCAGCCACCCAGGACTTCGTGGGTTGGGAACATGATGGAACATGTATGCTTCAATAATGCGGACTTCCTCAGTGACTCAATCTGATTCTCAGTTTGTATCAGTTTGTTGCTTCTGAGATTTGTTCATTGGAAATGGCAGGGTCTTAGTCGTTGGGTCAATTCACTTGGCGCTATTCGCTCTCTTCTCATCTGTAGCGACCAATTCCGCTTCCAAACTCCCGTTGCCTAGCCAAGCACTCACTACCTTCAAAAATCAGTGGGTCGTTTCAGCATTTGTCGTGTCGAGGGGTCACATTTCCGGCAAGTGATGCTGAATTCTTCACTCCGCAAGTTATGCTGAACTGTCCTTCTGTCCACCTCCACCCTCCAGAACTGCCGGTTTCACCCCCGGCACTGAGCACGAGATAGCACGATCACACCCCGACTCGCTGTAGTCCGAGGGGCAGTTCCCACGGACACGGCCGCTGGCAAGGGATCCTGGGACCGTCCGGCCGAGCGGTCCGATGTCATGTGATGAAGGCCGGTGGCAGCCAGTGGATGATGTGCGGTGGTGATGTTGGGCTGCTTGGGTTGGGCTGGTGATCCAAGACATCCCAAAACCCAAACAAAGGTTCCGTAACTCAGTTCCTGCACGTCAACTTAACCCTGTCCAAGATCGTCCAGAGTTCATGATGTTCATCGCACATTCGTGGGGCGAACTTGCAACTCAGCACAACATGCTTGCACAACATGGGGGGAAAACATCAGCCAGAACTCCATGGCTGTGCCTGCCGACAAACGCGCGCCTGAAATCTCTTGCTCTGACACCATCAAACTCCTCTGGTCCGAAACGATTTGGAAAGGACGCTCCTATATATATACGCTCCAACTTAGGCGCCAAGAGAAACATAGGTCAACATGTTGTTCCTCTTGGGCCACCAAGCCATGCTCCATACTCAGGATCTTCCCCACAAGATGTTCCAACAAAAGGATCGCAAAAGGGACTCCAAGCTCTGCTGTTAGCTCTGCCGTTCTGCTTCTGAAAATCCTCTCAGCGACCGGGTTGACCTGGATCCTCGAAACGGCCCTTGGAAGCTGTGGCTGCCATTGTCTGATACGGTATATATGCCATGGCTGCCTTGGCTGACGCCTAACATGGGCCATGCCGCAACGCGCTATTGCTTGTACAAGGTCTAGACGTATTGCCGTGACCAGGGTCTATCCTATGAGCAGGGCCCAGTGGCCTTGTTGACTGACTCTGTAAATAGGACACCCTGGCGCTCTGATGCCCTGACCCCGTAACCAACCGCTGAGGCCGTCGAGAGACGGATGTGACAGGGTTTCCGGAGAAAGATCTCGAAGAGATCAATGAAATCAACTGAAATAAAACCAATTTAAATTAATCAAATACATAGTTGTTTTGGACATCAAGCTATTTGTTTGGTGTGTGATATTCTTCCACCAAATCATACCAACCCTAGGGATCCAAGTACCTTCTCAGAAGGTACTTGGACCCTCCAAACATAGATGACAGTACTGATGACAGTGTCTCCAAGTACCCTCTGAGAAGGTACTTGGATCCCTAGGGCAAATCTATATATACCTCCGCAAGGGTCGATGAACTCATCTGAGGCGTTTTGTTAATGCCTTCTCTTAGTGAATCGCCAGGTCAACCCCAAAAAGGCCAGCACCATCTTCCCACTAGGTGTCCCCGCTGGAAGCTCTGGCACTGCTACCTGAGCTCCAGTGGAGGCACTTTGGGGGCTGTCCGGAGCCATTGGTGCAGAGAGAACACCAGTGACACCAGTGTTCTCGTTGCCTTCAAGGTCTATCAATGTCCATCGTCAATGACAAGACCTGTGCCGGTAAACAAAGAAAAACACAAAACAGCTACATATTAATTATGATATATTATGATGGTTGAACCGTTGAACTGTGCTTCCAATGTGAAGTAGAGACTCACTGAAAGCATGTCCACACCAACGCCGTTTGCTTAAACATGTTTTGACAAAGAGGTGGTGGTGTGCATCACCATCGAACGAGATCTGGTGCAATCTGCCCAATATCAACCCCCGCATCTTTGACATTGATGGTGGACTTCTCTACATTGATGGAGGCCCTCAACAAGCTGCCGAATCAAGTGCCAGTTGACAAATTTGCAGGCCAGCATCATGTGACTGAAGTAGAGTACCCCGTTATGCAACTAGGTCTCATTGGCACACTCTTGACTCTTGCAGCTGTCCAAAGCCGGTTGACAAAGATCTTCTCAACAGAACCCACATAACGATTTTGCCTGAAGATAGTGCTGGCGACGAAACGCCTGTCAGCCAAGTTGCTTGGTTGCTGTCAAGGCCCAGTGTTTTGATGTAGCTCCTCGGCTCTACACGCATGTGGAGGGGAGTTGCTGCAAGAAGAGGGACACCAACAAACAACTGTGTCCCCAAAGCCCCTTGGCAACGTCATTAACACCCGCGGGGTGTAAGGAGGCTTAGAGAGTCTTATGGAACCTTTGTGTTTTGTGCGAGTGGCAGTGTTTCAGAAAAAGCTCGTGTTCCAAAAGAAGAAGCACATGGAAGCTGTCGGAACAGCTTCAAACTTCCAGAACACATCCATGTGGCCAACTAAGACTTGCAAACATCGCCGGACCTCCCTCCCTCAATTGATCAATCCCCTTCCTCCCCCCTTCTCCCCCCGCCCGTTCTCCGTCCTGCTGAGGTCGGACACCAAGCTTTGCACCGCCACTGGGCGCAAGGGGTTGGACTCCAACAGCAGCCGCGTGAGGCGCCAGTTCCCTCGGCCGGCGGCCGGCGTGGCCGTCCCGCCCCACGCCCGCCCGTGGTTCCGCTGTCGTTCCCACGGGCTCCGGAGCGCTCGGACCTCCGGGCTCGGCCTCGGCCTCGGTCTGAGGCTCCAGCGAGGCCCGAAGGGTGGAAGCTCTTCCAGCTGATTCCTCATGTTCGGGTGGCACAGGTGGCGTTCGGAAGAGTTCCAGAGTTGAGTTACCAGGGCTTCCATAGTTCCATAGCATGTGGGTGTGCACCTAAGCCGATAGAGTGAGCCTCCTTTAATGGTACTGTCAGTGAACAAATACAACCCCCAAACAGTTTTAAGAAAATAAGGGGGAAGAGAGAGCATTCTTCATCCAGACATAGGAACACATACGTACTTATAATAAAGTTCTAAAAGTAACACCTGCATGTGCGTGTATCAACAGCCGTCTTCCCTTTTGTGAATCCCAAGAAAATGTAGCGGCCCGTAAAGGGATATATTGTTATTTGGAAGATCAACCCATAAGGCCACACCCTTCAGGTCATGTGAGTCGAAACACAACTGCCAAGCTGCTCATAGGCCAACAGCCACTCCAATTCTGCGGAGTTGGGGATTCGGATGGATTCGGACATCCGAACGCAAAAGGTGTGTGTGATGTCTGTGTTTTCTGCACATGACCTACTTCCGGTCTGAAAGCAATGAAGGGACCAGGGGTTCCGAAGTGACCTACGCCTGTACACGTCAGAAGGTTCCTACTCAAGCTTCCACAGTTTAAAGAAACCTTGGGCACCTCACTTTGCAGTGACAGTTACTAGATACTCATTATGAATAACGAAGCATAAAAACAACAAAAAAAACACATATTTTGCATACGAGGTCAAGAACCGCTCAGTGAACAAGTCACTATATGTCATCCAACATGTGTTAGAGGATATCTGCTCATATGAAATGGCCATCACCAAATCACCACAATCCGGGCCTATAGGCCTATATCTGCCCATATCCTCAGGTCCGGTGGTTAGACCCCACTGAGGCCGCCACACGAGTCCCACCAAAGCTCACGGAAATAAGGCCAGGAACCCTATACCAGCACCGAAACCAACAGGTCTCCGAAATGGAGGGTTGGGACCCTAACAGGTTTCAATTGGTGACCTGTTGGCCGTCGGTGCTGGTAGGGACAAGGTCGGTCTGGGCTGAGCTCAGCCAAGCGCCGCGCCTCGGCTCTCTGCGAGGGCGTGGGGCAATGACCGCAGACCTGGGCGGAAAGGAGCCGGACGGCGAGTCGCTCAAGGCGACTGGAACAGTGATTTCACATGTTTGGCTTGGATTCTTTCGCATAGACCTACCAGTCAGTTTGACCTCATGAAATTTCTGGAGATGGTCATACAAAACCAAGACTTGAGGAGGCAAAAGACCAGGTTTTACTGGGTCAAACTGGACTTGTAGGGTGGAGACTCTCTTGTTGAACTGTTGGCCAACAAATGTTATTGACCAGAAAGGTATGGGGAGGTGTTTTTTTCTCGATCAACAGTAGCTCTCACCACATGTCTAATTCATTCTAAGGTGGCGTAGGACGGTCTCAGGCCACCTTTCAGCACACCCCGCCCAGCGCACGTGCAGAAAGGACCACTTGAGACTCAGTGCTGTTTTCTTTTTTTCTCCGTCGCTAGGATTCTTTCGAGAGCAGCTGCTGAATTAAGAACAAGAAGTAGTCCTCGTTGGCGTCTCCAACCATACCTGAGTCTTCGCTTCGCAAAGGCAACAACACAACGACCGTGTGTCCGAGTACCAACAACCGTGACCCCCCCCAAAAAAGAACAAATGCACTGCTTTGCGTCATGTAGGTTGCTAGCTCCACCAACCAGTGGTTGGCACCTTTATATGACTAGCAGCTAGAACATGCTAGAACTAGAACGTTCGCACCAGACCTTCGAAGCCTTTATGCACCCAGATGCACAGTACACAGGAGCTCGCCGGGGCTACAATCAGCTGGCTAAATTCCAGGGCTTCGGCATCCAACTCCTCAGCTGGACTTCGCACGTGTCTCTCAGCTCCCCTCCCCTCTTCAGGCGTCCGCGGGAGAAGAGCAAGGACGCGTAACACTCTTTGTTTCGTTCGTAGCTTCTTGTTACGCGTCCTTGCTCCGTTCGTAGCAATGCCCTTTGTTACTAGTAGCAGTTACTCTAGCAGCAATTCTCAGGAACTTGTCCCAATGAAAACCTGTCTGGGACCCATGCGCGCATGAAGCTAGCATCATGATTTGAAGGGCGGATGTGATAGTCATGTGTGGGGGGCAGGTCCATCGGTCCGTCTAGATGAATTAATGGTACATGATGGCAGCTGATGCTGGTTAGCACTTCAGCCTCTTGGTTCGCTGCCAAGACATGCGGTCGAAGCCAAAAGGTGTAGCATGAGACGAGCTTGCGAGCTACCTGTTGCACATGTGGGCTGCCTAGGCTGCCTCTGCAAAGAGGTGCAGGTGAGAAAAAATGTGGTCACTTCATTCAAGCTATATATTATATATGCTTTACCAGCACCCTCCAACAGGTCTCCTCTGGAGGCCTTTGTAGACTTAAAAGTCGCAGGTGGTGACCTGTTGGAGGGTCCTGGTATCTAATATAGTGGATTGAGAGTAGATGGCACAATCCAAAATGGATGTTTATACAGATCTCAGACCCCCATCTCAAAGACATCTTGGGGTGTGTGCCATCTACTCTCAAACCACTGCAATATGTCCCACAATTCCCAAAACATGTCGGATAAACATGGATGGCACACCGCACCACCAGGGTGGACACTGCACCAACAGATCGACTCTAGGGTCCCCATGATTTGATCTTCCCTGCAGGGGTGGTAAACTACCCAACCAACCATGGTCTCATCCTGTTGCACACAGGATGAACCCCCAAAAAAATCAGGAATCAAGAACCTCCGCTATGTCTGGACACCCCGAAACCTGGATATGTGGATGCTCCTTCCAGGTAGTTGCAACTGACAAACAGAGGAACGACGAGGAACGAGCTGTGTCTCAAATCTTCCCATCCCCCGCCATCCCATCCCCATCTTCTCGTCCTCCGCCACCTGCTGGAACTCCTCCGCTTGGTGCAGCTGCCGCGCCCGCGCGATCGCGCGGTCGCGCAGGGCGCCCAGCACGGTTAAGGCCACCGCCTCCTTGGGGAGTCATCAAGGTGGAGCAAGGTGAACTGTTGGTTGAAAACTGTGAGGTATTTGAATAAGGGAAACCTGTACTAAACGAACGTAAGGATACCACCTAGACTGTGAGGTATCTGCCTTAAATACCTTAGGTACATTAATTTAAGACCAAAACATATTGAAAGTTTTACAGTTTTACGTATAGATGTAGAAGTGTGGCAAACCACGCCTTAAGGCGACCTCCAAGAGTCACATTGGATTCTCCAAGAACTCTTTTCATCCGTGTTCCTTCTGTTCGACTGCGGCGACGGTGTTCGGTCTTTTTCAGGGCGACCTCCCACACCTCATGACCATTGGGCTGAGGCGGTGAGCTCTGCTTTGCTCTCTTCATCCGAGGCGCGTCTGCCTGGCAAAAGAACCAGTCCACAAAACGCATACCACAGCTTCTGGTGCCTCACGATCCGCCAGCAGATTCCATACTACTGCGAAGAGGAACCGAAGGGAAAAAAAGGCGTCCGAGGCCAACACTCAAACGAGTACTAACTACGAGTGTCCATCCAAAATTTCCTGAGAACTCGGATGCAGTGGGACATGAGCATCCAAAATGTATGCAAAAAATCCGGGACGTTCCAAAAACCAAATTCTGGCGAGGATGTGTCAAGTTGGTAGAAGAATGGTGTGGAGAGTAGAGAATGGATTGAATGCACGTCATTATCATGCATTTATATAGGATCACAGTTACATGTTGTTCTTCTAACATCTTCCAAGCATTGGTTTGTCAATTGAGTCAGGCAAAGAGCGGTGGGCGAGACTGGAAAAACCACCGAGGCGCCAATCAAAGCCTGGGTCTCTTCCAAACATTGGCGCATCACCTCGTTGACCCGCTGGTAATCCTGCGATCTTTGGACCGTGAAAGGATTCGAATGGTTTCCCTGAAAATCACCATGGCTAGGCAGCTAAAGCAAACAATGCATGTGATTTTGTATGCATGTTTTCCAAATTGGCTCATGCCCAAAGTGGTTCATCCGTGGCAGCGCATTTTGTATGCAAAGGCATGCACTTGTACTTCCTCCCGGTACAGGCTAGGCAGCTGGACTTTCTATTGTCATCAAAAGTGGTCGCACATGGCACGGCCTCACTTGACCAAACGACCACTGTTTGTTCCAAATCACCAGGAGTGGGTAACCTTCGACCTCAAGGAGTGCATTGCCTTCCTTACATTGAAGGGATGCCACATCAAGTACACACCGGTTAAGTGGAGTGAAAACCACGGGTTTGGTATTCGGAAAATGGTCATCCGAATTCGGGGCCATGCCATCTACTTCCACAGCAATATTTCAGGGAGTGTCATGCTGCAGTTATGCTCATCAAAATTGACGCCAACTTCAGGGTCCTCCTGAAAACGATCCAAATCCTTCTCAGGCACCACACGGTAGATGGCCAACGGCAAATCATGTAGGATGTGGGGCCCCATTCCGAGCAGCATATGCTGAGCAGCAGTGAGCTGTTTGCTGTTCCTCCTTCGGCAACACAAAGTGGATTGCCCAAACCGTCTTGGCTTTAAGGCCGCCGGCGCCCAGTTCTGGTGGGTGTCACAGTTTTTCCTTGCTCCGGTACAATCATGTGGGTTCCATCTTCAATTCCAGTAGAGCTTCCTACACCCTGGGGCCCTAAGATGCCCTAGGGCTCCAAGTACGTACTTTGCTTCCGGAGGGTCGTGCCTTCTGAGGTCGGAGATGGTCCACATGCCCCAGTTCCGCCGCCTGGAACCCTCCCCCGGCGTGTCCGAGTTCTTCACGAGGGAACTTCCCGCCCGCCCGGTTTCTGAACTTCCGCCCAGTGGCGCAGCAAAGAAGAACTGCCAACATTTGGTGATGCTTTCGCCTGATCGATGTCTTCCTTAGACAAGCAAGACCAGGTCGTTCGAAAACATGTCAACATCTGAACCAGGTCCTGAACTCAATCAACAACAGCCTCATGAATTCAATAAACTGCCTCTTACGGTGGAAGCTCTGATCGATACTACAGAATCACAGTGATCGAGAAACAATATGAAATCACACAACCCATATCCTCCGAACCCATCCGCAGTGTATGGAGTGGTTCTGGGTCACCAGTCAGGAAAGACGCAGCCTCGAACTGTTCAAGCGGACTCTCTACCGTGAAAGATGTCCATTCTACCATTTGGCAAAACACAATCAATTATCATGCCCATGGTTTTTTAGACTTGTAATTGGTTGTTAGGATTTGTCGGGTGACACAGCCCTGGGGAAACATGCCAAATGCCTGCAATAATCATTGATCCCAAGTGGATAATGGCCTCCACAAACAGGCGATTTGCCACTTCAGTGATTTCTCAGGGGAGGCAACAAATAAACCTTGCTTAGCCTTAGCATGGCCACAGCCTGTGCCGCTACAATTGTCTGTGGATTCGGATCAACTGTGGGTAAAGCAAACCCTCAGAACGTCATGTCACGTAAGAGAGTTGTAAAGGAACAACTGGCGCCATGACCTGTAGAGAAAAGCAAAACACACCACACACAATTAACAGGCCGATTAGCGCTGCTGCTTTGGTTTTCCCCTACCGTTTCATCGGCGGTCGGGCGAAAGCATCGGTCCTCTTCGCACCATCTGAGCATCTGATCTGCTCGAAGAGCAAGTTGGCGAATTCGACGTCCACGGCCTCAAGGAGCTTGGAATCCTTAGCGCTCGGTGAAATCGGTGGTCCATCCATGGACCATCCAATTTACTACGGAGTCTGTGTCTCAATCATGGAACTGGAACAATGGCCCGTTTCGGATGACCATGTTCCTCTACAAACAGGTTTTCCACTGCCGTGATGTGCAATATCCGATGGTGCCATGGGTGGTCATCCCAAGAAGAGGAAACACAGGACACTCACTTTGGAAATCGAACTGCTGCTGGTCAGTTGAGGAAACCATACGCTGCAATTAGCTAGTTTGGTATTGTTTGGTGAATGGGGGCCCCGTATGTTCCTTGGGCTGGTTGTCTTTGGCTTTCGGGTGTAGGGCTGAAGAACGCAGTCTGGTCAAGACTGTGTGAGGAGCAGCACTGGGTCCAAGCCGTGTGAAACAGAAATGACCACAGGTGGACGGCCTTCACTTTCAGTTTCTTCAGCAGATCCTTCCTCGCACCATCTCGCACCAATCAGATCCGATCTCGGTGTCAAGACCATGGACAACTCGCGATCCGATCGAGAGGACAACCACCGAGTTGGCGGCACTGAATCTCCCATTTGGTCCACACAATCTCGGCTCACATAGGCTGTTTGGAAAAGGCTAGTTACAACCAGGACGAGCATTACCTGCTTCTTGTGTCTTTTTAGTTAGAGGCAATGAGCTGACAGAGTCATTCAACTCTGAAAGGATGTCCTCCGGAATTTTACCTGGCATTTGGGCGGCTTCAGCTGCAAGGCCAAAATCAAGTTTGTGTGTGACACCTTTTCTTGCCACACCTGCCCAAGCATGTCGGTGTACAACAGCAAGCTTTTCCCTGTATGTGGGCAAAAGCTACTAGGGATATACCTAGCCCAACTCACTGATACCATGCATGGACCGGTTGTCAACTGCCGCCGGCACCAACCCTGGGAAATCGAATTATCCTACAGATCCGCCAGTGAAGCAGGGATGGTATGCCTGAAGCAACATGTCTTCTGAAGCATCTCACGTGTCAAGGATCACCAAATTTGTTTTCCTCTACGAAGCTCTTGATCAGTTGCGTCACCTGGGCAGCGGCCAGCGGCGGGCCAGCAAATGGACCACACTAATTTGAGAACCTTAAACAATTAAACAAAAGCTCTGGAGTACTACTTGCATACCAAGTTGTGCCTGCAATTTGCTCGAGAAACCTAAGAATACAATCAATGTAAGTTATAAAATTAATTCCATCCCCTCCTATATACAAGTTCAGGCTCTCTAAGAAGACCAGAAAACACCTTCTCAGCAAATAGAACGGACACATTTCATGACATGATCACAAAATGACTAAACTGAAGTTGCTAGAAGTACAGCAACAGCAGCAAAAAGAGAGAGAATTACTGAGAGAGGGAGATATGATATATGACTTATATTATATATACATATGTACAATAATACCTAGAACCTCTTCTTGGGCAGAAAGTTCTGCCTATCATGGGTAAAGGTGCCTTTGTTCTTGGCTCCGCTAGGTACAATAAGTATATTGTAATATATTAATTAAACAAAAACTCTGCGATCCTCTGGTGATTGCTGAAAACATTTCCGGAAGTACGAGACTGCCTCACCCAGCAGAAAGTGTGTTTTCCACACATTGTTTTCCATATTGCTAAATTCTGACCATGCTAAATCTGAGATTTCAAACGAAGAACATGCCGGATCTTCCACATGCCACATCCATAGATGGCCATATTAACCTATTTTAAGTGATCCTTTCATTGATCTCCCGGTTTGAGGTCACTTGGTCACCCCGCCCTCGATCTTCACCGGCACGCCGCATCCCATGTCCCTCTGCGACCGACGTCGCCCGCGCGTAGAGCGCGTAGAACAAGCGCGAGGCATCCACCCGGTCGCCGCCGTCCGGCCAGGCCAAGGTCTTCAAGCGCCGGAGGACGTCGGGGATGCTTTGGGCATCCGACGGCTCCATTTGGTCAAGAAGCTCACTCGGGATCTGAAGAGGTCAAGGAACGTTCCCAAACTTTTGGACATGATAATGCTTGAACTTGAAACCAACAATTCCAGCCATGGGTTGTGCAATTCCATGTGTTCAGATCCAAAAACACGTTGAAAGAACCTGTTGTTGGCTGGTAGTGTGGAGGTGGGCTGTGATTCTTGTGAGCCATTTGTTGAGTCAAACATACCAGGACCCTCCAGTACAGTAGGTGCTTTCTGATCACAAGTTAGTTGTCCAAAATACTGTAAGGGTTCCAAAAGTCTTCGCTCTGGCGGTCAGTGGGTTCGCTCTCGTGGTCTCTCGGGGCCGAGCTCTATAGGTCTACAATGCTCCGAAGCCAAGGGTCTTGAGCTCCGAAGTGACCAAAGAGCGGCCAGTACACTGACTGTTGGTACAAGCAGCTTGGGCCCCATGTTGCGGTGATGTGTTCGCACGCACCGCTGGAGAGTGATCTCGTCACCATCTGATCAGTTGGAGGAGATGTGGCACATGGAAGGTGGTCGTGCCTACCCCTCGCAAGCCTCCTACCACTCCATGGTACAGCACATCTGGGTAAGCAGTTTGGTACAGTGGCCCGCTCACTGCAAGTTATGGCGAAGACCCTCCAAATGTCTACGAGCCCAGCTGTTTGCAAACTTAGGAGCTAGGACAGCTAGGAGCACCGGACTCAATCAGTTGCTGAACTCACTCATGCCAAACAAGTTTACAGAAACCTTCTGTCAAGGCTGTTGTCAAAGAAAACTCCATTTCCTGTCTACAACAAGCATGAATTGACTATATGGGGGTAATCTGGGAGTTGTATGATTCAATGAATCAACCTATACTATAGGCTCTTCCCATACTTGGGCAGTTCCCTTGGCCTCCAGGCGGTTGCTGGCGACCCCCAAGATCCGCAAGACCGGCATGTGGCCCACCTGAAGGATGAGGCGTGTGGATGAGAGGCACCGCTCTTCAGAACCCCAAAGAAGCTGATGGTCTCCGTCCCAAACACGACCTGTCGCATGGACTGCATGGAGATGCTGATCAATTGGCCCCTGAAACCACCCCACACAGGTGGTGTCTGGGTGCATCATACTACGTCATACTAGGTCTTTTCTTTGTTGATCGATTTTCTTTGCACCAGGTTCAGTGGTTGAACATTTGATGCCCCCGGAATGCAGATTGACGACACCAAAATCCAAATGTGAAGCAGCCGAAACTGGCCCGTGCAAGAGACAGTGGAGGCCTTCAGAATCCTTTATAACACATGTTCCGAACGTTTGCTGCTTGCGACATCCCACACAATCCCAAGGAATTGGAGGGCCTCGCAGGGGCTGGTCACTCCAAACACATTCGATCTCCACCTCTTCTGGCAGCTCGGTCAGCTGGTTCCCCATGACCTGAGCACTTCTGGGTCACCTCTGGTCAGGCCCGGTGTGTCCCACTCGGGGCCCGGTCACCTCCAGCCACGAAGCTACGAACGCCAACAGGCCGCCGGAAGAAGAAGCTGCGTGATAGGTGGTCGGGCAGCACTACCAAGGGAGGTTAAGGGACCTTCTGAGGAGCTCACTGGGGTACCTATGGGATAGTGTATGGGGTTCTTCAACCTCTGTTGGTAAGAACTCTTTAGAGGCTCTTGTGTCCGATCAAAGCGTTGGCCTGACCGAGTGACCAGGACCAGGACAATCAGCTGGCGCCACTGGATGGTCCGTTAAGGGATTTGGCTCAAGGCCAGTTGAAAAGAAGGATCCTTTTCGTGCAGTCGCCGGGTTCTTCAACGTGACCCTTCCATGGGCCGGCATGAAATCCGTGGCAAAGCTCTTCAACTAGGGCGGTCCCAAAGGCTTTGAGCGTCACGAGCTGCGATGTAGAATGCCAGCTCAGGGGCAGCAAGCGCTGAAGGCGGTTCCTTAGGTCGCGAGACGTGGCCCGAGATGGTGCAGGAGGAGGTGGCACACCTACGCCACCCGGTTCACGGAACAAAGAACAAAACACTATGACGTGTACCCACAGCGCATCATCATGGCAAAACACTGTATGAGAGGATCTACGGCGCGTTTTGCCTAAATGAACGAACGCAGGGGCGACCGGGTGCGGACTTGAAACGCGCAGCGCCAGCTCGCTGTGAGTTCGCTATACCGAATCGGCTGGTGTCTCCCGTTGGGTTCCTCGATCATATCCGCCCCTCAGTCCCTGCTCCATCATCTCAGTCCTTGCTCCACTCTTCGCCCCTGCTCTGGTCTTCCACTCTCTTCAACCGATGCCGAACGAACACCGATGCCGATCGCGCGCCGAACGACGAACGAAGCCACGCACCACCCCACGATGCCGCCGAGGAGTATAGCGGATCGGAGTTCCTCCCGCGGGCCGCCCGTGATGGATCCGAGGCTCCCGTGCACTTCCAGCCGTTCCAGCTGGGGCCAGAAGGCCACCTTCGAGACGCTGGGACGACGTCAAACGGCGCCGGGTCTCGGAGCTTTGGGAGCCCATGTGGTGATTCGTGATGGAGTCCAGATATGGAAATGGTGAAATGGTTTTGGGGGTCTATCCATCAGGAACCGTGGATGATGGTTAGCAGCTAGGCCTGGTTCAAAAATAGAGATCTGAGATCATTGTGTACTGACTCTTCAACGGGTAATTACAAGTAGGACAAACCATGACCAACCCAAGGAATGGTATATTGAACATTGATGCAAAAATGGGAGGCTCCCTCTGAAAGCATGCAGAAAAAGAGGCCCATCAGCTCAGGGGTTGTACGGATGGTGGATGGAACGTCCTGGAGGGTCCATCGACCGCTCCGGGTTTCCAAGATTCCAAAGAAAAAACAGGTAGATCCACACATCTCCTGAAAACATGAGTATTTGGGATGCTCACACACACACATACATCACATCAAATCAACACCAACATCTTCACAAAACAAGAACGCCGCCTCAAAAAAGAACCGCCTAATCAAACAAACAACAAAAACATACAAAAACCACACGACCACGGAAAACCAAAAAAAAACACGGAAACCGCCGAAATCCCTTGCTGCGCCGGCCTGCGACTAGCGCCGCGCTCGTCGCCGCTTCGCGGGTTCTGGGCGCCTCTGTGAGGTGATTCCCCGGCGCCGTGAAGAGGCGCAGCTGGGCCGTGAAGTGCGGTAGCTCTTCGAGGCAGTTGGCATCCTTGGTGGACACCAAGGTGGGTACACCCTAGGCCACTGGTGGCCCACGATGGAACCTGAGTCTTCCACGGTCGGGTTTTCAGCAAAAAAACACATCACGCCATCAACGGTCGCCATGGGGTTCCATGTGGGTCCCTCTCTGAAGGCGACGGTCTCATGGGATCGAAGCATACGTCGATGACATCGGGTGGAGCTGCCCCCCTGCACACTCATGTCTAGACATGACGATGATATAGAAGGATCTTTCTTGGCACACTCCCAAACTCATTGGGAACATGATGAAACATGAACATACAAAAAGGAACAACTGTAGAACAATGATACAACAGAATCTGTCAAAAGAACACAAATAATCAGATGTTGCATCTTTGTTCTTCCATGTCTATGCCAGGACCTTCCAAGAGGTGTCTATAAATAGCCTCTTAGAGCTTAAGGAGTGTCCCAAAACCACCTGCTGTTGGAAGGTCCTGGTAGAAGGATCTCTGTAAAAATGTTTTGAGGATGGCCGACTTTCTTCAGGCTATTCTTGATAGAATCGCTGGTCCATGTCACCACAGTCCAACAAACAGCCAAAACCATCTCAAAGCCAGAAGACCCTGATATGCACTGATCCTGATCATTCCTGATCCCGGAGTGACTCCCCAAAACAAGTCAAGTTCTGCAGAACAAGAGCTTCACCCAACTACTGCCCCAACACCCCTCTCAACAAATGACATCAAATTATATAAGGAGAAAAACTCTGCAGAACCAGGGCGAATCAGCCAACCGACCCAAGCTCTCTGAAAACAACAATGACATCAAATGTCATCAAATCACCAAAAGGAGTCAAGTTCTGCAGAACAAGGACCAGTTCTCCAAACCGACGCAGCCGTCACTCATCTCTCATCGGCAAAGGACAAACAGGAAAAACCTTTCTGAAAACCCAAGTCTAAAGTTAACAGTTTCAACTCCACCTGCAGCTCCAGAAACACATGGAAAAACGGTGTCTGAAAGTCCGAAATCAAAGGATCGAAACAAATCTCCTGCAACTTTGGCAGATCACTCACGGCCTGAGGTATTCGCCGCAAGAAGTTTCCATTCCTCGGCACACGACCGCGGAACTCGGCACACACGCCCGTGACAGGACGGCACAGACGACTGGCGGTTCGACGGACAGGCGCTGTAGACACATGCATGCACAGGCATGTCTGGCAGCTGTTTGGAGATGTTGGGATCAGCATGACAGAAGGAACTCTGGAGCCACCTCCAACTGCAAGTCTGCCCATCCCAGCCACTCTGACCACACTAGTCCAGTACGAAGGCCTTCTGGGTCCCTAGGTGCAAGGGGCTGCAACGTGGCATGCACTGCTGGAGTGACTGTCTGGACGAACAAAGCGATGCCCAACAGAAAAGCGTCAGGTAGAGGAACCGGAGCTCACGCAGCATGCCCACCTCCGAGGGTAAGCTGGTTAAACCTGGGCGCTCTCGCCGCGGGCAACGCCCCCGCCCGGTGCGCCGGGTGCGGTGGGACATCAAAAGCACAGCAGAACACACGTAGGAGTCACAAGTGGGTGCTGTCAAGGAAGGTTAAGGGGTGCCCATTCTCCACTCACATAAGAGACGAGTTTCGGAACCCCGACTTGTGACTTCATGGTGCCATGTATCCATGTTCTGTGCCCATTCCGGACGTCCATGGTCCATCCTCCAGTACTCCACCGTCGCCACGTCCGAATATGGTATCGCTGATATATCACTGATACATCCCCGGACCCTGTGTTTAATGGACACCCGGAATCCGTGGTGCTGGTCTAAGCCATAGGCTGATATGATATCACTGTGCTCACCAAGTTCAGCGTTGGTTTGATGTCCAGGTGGCTGTTGGAAATCAAGCACAGCGACTCCAAGTCTGTGGATCGCCCCAGGTTTGGTGGGATCTCCACCAGCTGCGGACTGCAGGACAAGCGCAGCTCCAGCCTAAGCGCCAGCCGCGCTTTTTAGCGCGGGACAGGCTGAAATGACCCGGGTCGCTTTTCGGGGGATGGAGATCTAGGAGACGGGAACAGTGAATAGTGTTAGTATGGCACCAAAGAGGTTCCAAGCTAGGTGACAACTGGGTGTTGAAGCTGAAAAACGGAAACGCAGCCATGCGCAGCTAAGCTGCACCCCTTGCAGAAAGAAGGTCGCCTTCGGTATTGGCCGCAGCTCCTTACAGTCGCCGCAGTGAAGGAAGCAAGGCATGGGCCCATGCTATGCTGCCATGCTGAAGTAGGGCTGGATTGATGTGCATTGGTGCTTGCGATGTGATGTTGCGATGTGGATCGATGCTTTGTCTTAAATGAGCTGGAAAACGCTAAGACCATCGAGATCTTCTCATTTTTGCTTGGTGCTCGTCGAGACCGTCGGCGTCTCTCTGCAACGTGGTGATGTACAACCATCTGGGAATGAACAATAAAAACATGGAGCTTGGTCCAGAATCTGATCATGATCCGAATTCCCACTGGCACCATTGACACCAATGGACCATTCCCACTGCCAGCCCAACATTCCCACTGCAGCACCGTCCAAAATGACCCAAACAACCTGCTGTCCTCATAGGGCCAGGTGGGGGGGAAGCGTGCCTGGTTGCCGAGCGCGAGAGCAACCACTCTGACCCACTACACTCCGACACACGAACAAGGGAAGTGGAAAGTAGGCCTTTGGAAAACCATGTTCTTTTGCAAACAGGTCGTCTTCCACTTCCATGTTAGTGAGTCGGAGGGCACCACGGAAGTGCAAAATAGATCTATGATGGTCCATGTTAGTGACTGAGAGGGAGTGTATGTATGTGCTAGCTATAATGCCTACTCTCTTAAACTCAATCCTGAGATCGGGCAGCAAACTCATCATCTCAAACTCTCGATCTCTAAACCACTTTGGAAAAGAATTCCAAGCAGTTGTCCATACCCACCAGTTTCCTAGAGAAGTTCATGGAGCCTGGGCTTCGAATAATAATGATGTTCCCTCACAAGCCAGGAAATCAACCAAGTGGACAGAGTTGTCTAGACGACGTGTACAAAAAATCGAGTGCCTCTTCAATCATCCCTTGTTGCCACTACAGCGACCCAACCCCAATAAGAATATCGTAGCATGTAGAAAGCGTTTCCAACAGGAGAATGGTTCTGTGCTTGAACCAGTCAAGAAGCTTTTATGGCCAAGAGTCTCTGAGCCGCCAAGCACATTCTCTCGTCCTCCAAGCCCAATCGTGCGGATGGCTTGCGAGAGAAGAGTGCCTTCCTCAGCAGCACAGCCACTCGAGGCCATCCAAGAATTTATCGTGCTTACAGTGGTTTCACAAACCCCTACATGTCCTTTATATAGATGGGGGTCCATCTAAACCATTTGACTTGGGGATTGTGTCATCTACTCTGAAACCACAGCAAGAGGAAAAAGTCGGTCTGGCAAAGGTGATCTATGGTGACCTGTTTCATGCTGAAGCGGACCCTTCAGGGTCTGTACCTCTCGATCTATCTGGGGAAACAGATTATGGCCCATGCATCCCCATGTTGCTTTTGCCTATTTAGTAGAAGATGCGCATAGTGACTCTTGACTAACCCAAATTGTTTGGCCATGACACCCACGAAACAAACAGCAATTGTCCCGAAGTCTCGTGAATCATGATGGATCATCCAAAACGCTGGAAAACCCGGTCATGTCGAGCCTACAGGCGCCCTGCTTGATGAGCTCCAAACCAACCCTACGTCGGGTACCGCCGCGTGGTGCACCAATATCAGGTGCCAGCTCTAGTGGCAACGACCATCTCGGCTTGGAAACGACCATCCCAGCTCTGAGAACCTTCAAGGTCCCAACCTATCCCGGAATTGTCGAAGTGTGACGAGCCGTGGCCCAATTCGGATGACCGTTGGCCGAATACAAAAGAACACCGGTTTTCACTCCACTTAAGCATAATGATTCCAGGGAGTGTACCAGGTTTCATCAGGTTTCAGTGAATGATGCTTAGGTCCTAGGTTACAGGCCGACATCTCAACAATTGTGATGTTATCTTGCCGACTCTTCACTGATTATATACACTATAGGAAGCAACCCAAAAAAGGACTTCCACCTATCCTCCCATCATCTCCCCCTCGGGCTCTCCATGCGGCTCTCCACCAAGCATCTCCGCTCGCGTCACCAGCTCCAAGACGCTCTCTCCAAAGCTTGTCTCCACGCCGGCCGCGCGAGGATGTTCCTCGTCGCGGCGGAGGGCGTCCAAAAGGCATTTCAAATGGCAGGAGCGCCAGGTCTCAGCACCTGGGCAGGAGCGCAGCAGATGGTTCACGGTTCATGGAGACATGCGTGCTGAGAGTGCTGTGACATGCGTGTGTCAGGTCTGGTCCAGCTTTCCGGGGGATCGAAGGTGGTTTAAGGTCACCAGGTCACGGATGAGGTCGGAAACTAAGGATCCAGTCGATGATCCAGGTGAGTACTGTCACCCGTGCTCTGCTTTCGGGAAAAGGATTCAAATTGGTGGAACCGAGCGCCCCAACATCTGAAGAGGTTGGGATGACAACATCCCACATCCCACTCTGATTCCATGGGATCTGCAAGTGCTTTCAGTCTAACGACTGTGCCTCCATAGGGCGGAACTGCACCTTTCAGAAACATGAATACGGCTATTAATGCTAAGTCAGTACATAGAGAAGTTCACCGATGGATTGGGCGCTCCTCCGCTCCAAGTTCGTTCTCGCCGGAAGGGATCACTGTTCACTCCCAAGCTTCCCAGTTCGACCACGGGAGCATAGATCAACGGCCACCATTTCCTCAGCCGATTGATTGAGCCTCAAAAAGAAACAGGTGATCAGCCTGCGGACCCCACAGGGCTTGCCCTCTATGCCAACCCATGATTTTGGTTGTATGGATTGTTGTCATTTTGTGCCTCCCCGGATTCGTGCGGGAGTGGAAAACAAACGTTCCCGCGGGCCCGTTTTACGGTCATGTCGACCGGTTGAGAAGCTCCGATTCCTGTGTATTGCAGTGGCATAGCTTGAACAGCTAGCAGCTATGCCATCTACAAATACCATGGACGTGCCCCCCCCTCTGGCAGGGTGCTGCTTTCCATCTAGACTCTAGACTCGACTGAACATTGACTTGAAAGCACCGAGGGAGTGAAAGAAACAATAACAAACACTTTTGCGGCGCAAAAAAACGATCACATACAGTATGTCATTGCTTGCAATGATTCTGGGAGGTGGGAGGGGTGGACCAACGGGGTAAAAGACGTCACTTCCCTCCATCATCTCCCAGCGGCTCCACGGGCCACCTGCAGAACGGACAGCTCTCCTCGCGTTCCGGCGGACCGCGCTCCGCACCGCGCCGGCTCTCGCCGTTGGGACGGTCGTAGGGGCCTGGCCGGAGCTCCATGACCTGGACGAGCGGCTCAGGTGTTCCAGGTCGGGATGAACATCTTGGGATCGTTCACTTCGGGCCCCACAGAGGCCCACAGATGCTACTAGTACCATCATCAAGTAAACATAGTAAACTACCCATCTCAGTTTTGGGATGGCCTGGTGCTGCTGGTGCTGTGAATCAGGTCTCAGGGCTGGGACCGGCTGGCTAGGCAGGACGCCGCCTCCCTAGCTCGGGTGCCGTGCGTCGTGCCGTGCGTAGCTGGGTCTCACATGGCAGTCGGCGGGCAGAATCTGGAGAAAGACATGAATGATGTCCGACCTACAGAATTCAGAAGGGGTCAATACTGGGGTCAATATATCTGGTTCCATATGGTTCCATGTATTGGATCCTATTGGTTCACTTGGTGCCTATATTCATCAACAAACCAAGGCTGTAGGTCAAAGCATCTATGCTTTGGATTGTGGACATCCCTCATGCAGGATGGCCCTGCGGTGCAAAATGGGCCCAGCAAGACGTGATGTGTTGGCTTCCCTTGGTGTGTTCAACATGACGTTACCCTGACTGTGCTGATGTTCACGTCCGCTTCAGTCGAACAGCTACTTGGCTGCAGTCCATGTTCTCGATCTGCTGTCCCATGCTAGGGCTGCTTGGGCAATGCGGTGTGATGTCATCCTACCTGACAATCAAAACGGTTTGTTATGCAGAAAGTGACAAAACATTAATCACCTCATATCACCGCCGGTGTATAGTGACTTACTAAATCTCATGGCTTCAGGCGGAGTGTGTTGTAGCTTTCTGCAGTTCCCTGTTGGCAACGGCAAAAAGCGCCGGAGCAGCTTCGTGCAAAGCCATGCCAATCCGCCAGCACTGGCTGCATTTAGGTTATGATGGATTATGGTCTCACACTCTAACAGTGATCAGTACTGTTCTTGATAATATATATCAAACTGACCCCCAAAAGAACATATACTCACCATCACTTCTATCATGTCAGAGACATCGAAGTAGCATCGGTGTGGACTTCCTTTCGCTTCGCCCTTCGGCCCTTCTGGCTGCTCGTCTCTCCTCATTAGCTGCAAGATCCATGCCATCTTGGCAACTTGCGCTCCAAGTCTCACGATTCTCACTGGGGCCACAGTGTGCAAGTTCAATGTGTTCAATGGGTCATCTTCATGCACCGGTTCTTTCAATTGGTGGCAGTCTTAGACCATATTTAGACACGATCAGTATAACCAGTAGATCGAAATCATGGGGGAGGAAGTACGGTCAACTGCTGCAAAAAACACGCAAAGATGAGGCCATTCCAAACTTGTATTTTGTAAGCTTCATCCCTCTCCATCTCTCACCCTGGCCGCTCGGCTCTAAAACATGGTCCTTTCACATCCTCCGTTCCGATGAGCTTTTTGCTTCCCTTCCTCTAGAGCTCAGTCTTTCATTTCCCTCAGCCTCAGCTGAGCCCCAATAAAAGGCCTATATACAGAACAACCATCATTTCACCCTATTTCTCCAACAAAACCATCTTTCGGCCTGACGACCAATCCATGGGCGCCTCAGTGGGCTTTCGATTTCGGACCCAGTGGGCATTCCCTGCGCTGGTTGGCGCTCCTCCACTCAGCCCAATCGAATTCGCTCAGGCCCAGAGTCCTGGGAAAAACCCAGCGGAAGGGGCCTTGAGAGACCTTATTGTTTTCACCTGGCCGCGTCATGTGTTCATTGTTCGGTTGTTTTTCCCCCCCTGGGTTTTGGTTTTAACTGCTGTTTTGGATCAGACTGCTGTTCGTGTCAGGGAGCTAGCTGAACCGTCTCTGCTGGTCCGGCAGGGTCCAGGTCCTTGAGACGGTGCGTGAGTTCGTCGTCATCTCAGGTTCAACACCGCTGAGCATGTGGAGACGAGGCTTGGAGGGGATTTGCTCATCCACTCGCCTACTCTTTCGGCCAACGCGGAGCGGTGCCGGGCGGCGGTGCCTTGTTTCTTTTTGGTCCGAAACAGGTATGAAAAAGCACCGGGCCGGACCGTGTGTTCGTCGAACACGTGTCTTCGTCGAGCACTAGTCCCATCTCGCTACCCCGCCCAGTCTTTATGAAGAGTCAGTTCTTAGGCACATTCCAGCATATTCCATTCCAAATAACGGTGCGTGTTCAACCTTGTACAGGCTTAGGCAACGAATGGAATAATAGACTATATAGTCTATAGTACAAACTCTATACAGCCGGGTGCTGGTCCAAAAGTGCCACTGGGACCTTGTTCAAGCCAACAAGTTCTGATCATGTCAAGTGCCTTCCCAACAAAGGGCTGACGTCGTTCACCCCGCAAAACCAAAAACAAAAGAAGCGAAAGCGCTTCGCCTCGGTGCTGGCCAGTTTGACGGACCTCAGCGTCGCCGCCAAAACGTTTTGCTCTGTTGCATTGCTAGATGTCATTGGCACAAACGACTTGCTGTTTAAAGCGCGCACATTTTAAGTGCGGAGCCTTATACAAGACGCATCCTATCACATCCATTCTTGCGCGTAACTGTGGGGTCGCTTTAGTTCTGACGAGCACTGAACCGAAGTAGCGAAACACTCAATGCATCCAGGAAAGGGTCAAACATGGTCACAAATCATCAAGTGTCTTGCTCAAACCCGAAATCCATTCTGCCGCAAACAAAAAGGACCAACTCTCAAGCAAACATCAGCGCCTGATCTTGGCTCATTTGAGCCTAAAAACTTGAAGCTTTCCAGACTTCCACTCTGAATCCGCATCGGATACTCCCACAAAATCACTCAAAAACCGGTCGAATCTCGGTCTGCCGTGGCTTCAAACAAGGAAACAAACCAGGGACCTTCGCGCTCTGGGCCACCGGTTTCACCGCGCTGCTTTCGGTCCATAGGTTTCACTCGGCCTCCCTGCCGGTCAGCCACCTGACGGCGTCGAAACGTGAGACTGTCCATGGTAGTCAGCCATGTCGGATTCACTCAACCCAGCCAGCCAAGACTTGGGTCACAGACGTGTGTTACAGACTTTATCTTTCCACATCTTGATCTTCGCGGGGTTCAGTGTTCCTCTGCAAATGACGGACCCACCGAAAGAAGATCGGTAGTCCCTGGTCTTTGAGATGCCGCACCCGAAAAGCAGGAATCCACAAAATTGATGCAATATAAGTCACTTCAGGCCAAACAGACTATACTCACCTATTATACTCACCTATATACTTCTGAAGTCTCACTCTGGAAGCGATTGTGGCAAGCTCTTTGTTGATTGTTGCCCATCACTTTGCGGAGCAGCAGAACCACTCCGTGTGCCTTGGAGGAACTCAGAACCCTGATCACCTGCGAGATCCGAAGGAAGCGAAGGCGAAGAGTTTCACAGATGTGATTCTAGCTGTTGCAGTTGACCCCAAGAGATGGCCCAGGCCCTTCTTGCAAGGTTGGGACATCTGGAAAAGTGCGGTGATTTCGTGGCAGTGGGATGAAATCCGACGGTCTTGTGGGCTTGGATGAAGAACAAGTTGCTACTTTGTAGTCTTGTCAAGTTACAATCATCTTTGTGTGCGATTTTAAGCTTATGCAAGATATGCAAGCTGCAAACCAAAAAAGGTTGGTCAGCGATGTTCCCAACAAACGCTCGAATCAAGACACCTTCCGCTTCCATGACCATGCCGTCTCTGGTGAAAAAAGGAAGCCCTGCAGTAGACGTGTGCCCAAGAAATGGAGTGAGCTTCAACGTGCTCCGCCCTGAGACGTGGCCGACGTGCTGGTTGCTCCGAAGGTTCACCCGTTCGAACACCTGAGACCGGATGTCTGAAGGGGTCCATTCAGGGCGGCCACGCGTGTGTCTTAGATATATCGAAGTCATCGAAAATGAGGCCAACGAGACATCGAATATACCTAATTTCTGCTGCATCTTGTGAGCTGATAGCACAGCTGATAGCAACTCCACGCCCACACCTTGGCACTCTACAGTCACGCAGCTGGCAACATGGCCAGATGCTTCATAATTACTGCTGTTTGCTGGTTGAACATTTAGGGTGTCAAGCATGGTCAAACATTAAAATGCCATGCGTCTTGGTTTCTGGCTGAGAGTTCTTGATATAGGGGGTTATAATGATGATATTGCTAACTTAATTCCATCCCTCTGCCTCCTTTCGTTTCACCTCTGTGTTCCCTCCCTTTGTTCCCTCGCACCGCGTCCCAGCAACAGACGGTGGCCGCCTTGGGCTCTGGAGGCGGGTTCAACAGGATCCGCACCGCGTCCGACGCGTCCGCCTCGGTTCCGCGAGACGTTCCGTTCGGCACCGCCGAGGCCATGGTAATCCGGCGTTGCCGCCGAGGAATCCAGGCCTTCCCCAGAGTTCCAAGTGGTGAGTTATGGTGAGCCCCAGAAGTGGTGAGTTAGTGATGGCAAGGCCTTCACCAGAACTACCTTCTCTCACTACTACGCTGAAGGGGCGGACTGATGCTTGGGTGGCTTTTAGTTTTTTGTAACATCCAAGGGTTGTGATAGAATCGATGTCAAATGCCAAGGTCTAGCAGGTTGGGGGGGTTCAAGTTCAACCCTTCAGATTCACCAGGCCACTGGGGGTCTTGCCACGTAGACATATCGTTATATATCCCATTCAAGGATCTGTGACGTGCACTTAGAGCAACACACGCTGGATCGAAGCCAGCACGTCTAGGGTCTAGGGCTCTCCCACTCGGAACAAAAGACATGGGGTCTTTGAACCCCCCGAAGCCTAAGCCTTCGCCCCGTTCGCCCCCTTCGCCCCGTTCGTGATGAAGCATCATCACGCCTCGTCCCGCCAGGGGATCCCGGACGTCGGTGAGGCAGATCCGATCGTTCGTCTGGACCGAGCGGATCTTCATCCATGGTGTCCCTATGGGCGGCGGGTGTGAAGGCAGGTGTTGGAGGGGTTTGGGTTGAGCTTATTGGAGGGTGTTTTTGATGTGTGACCTGGTTCTCACAAGTGTCCTCCCCAATTAAGCTGAAGCATGTGGGTGCAGGAAAGATTTAGAATAAACAGATTTCAACATCATGGTGGAAATCCGGTGAGACTGCATCATCTGCAAATGGTTCCCACAAAAGTACGTAGCTTAGACCAGCACCACGGAAAGGGTGTCCATTAATAGCCCCTTAGAGGTCAAGGGGTGTCCATGAACCACCCCGACTGGGGGTTCAGGGAACTGAATGTTGCTTCAGGTTATCCCACCAAAGAACATCAGGCAAAGGAACCATGTACCCCCACGCGGGGGACCAAGGCACCAATCTCTCAAGTTCGGCCTTGAGAGATAAGGCTTCGGGGCTTTAGAAGAGGAGGACACGCTTCAAAGACTGATGATCTCGATGCTTGTAATTAGCTCACCGGCGCGTTGTTGCACGATATGTTCATGTAAACATCTCATCAGCTCATTGAGATTCTTCTGCACCGGTGCACTTTGGCACCGGTCCTTCTTCCCACCTCGCCCGCTTCCACCGGGTGGATCTTTCGGTCGCCGGCGACCTTTGTACCGACGGTCCGGACCCGCTTGACGCAGGGCATCGGCCCAATCGAAGTCCAAGTCATCCAGTGCCACCCAAGATGTGACTTCCGGATGATCCTCGTGGCGCGCGTGGGAAAGGCATCGGCAGCGGGGTGGATCTATCACTGGGCCGGAGTTGGGTGGTTTGAGAATTGGCGGAGAAGGTTTGATGTTCCCTTTTCCATTGGGGGAAGGGTTCCTGGTAGCGGAGTGTGTGGTTTTCGAAGGCCAGGGCGTTTTGAGAAAGCACTAAAAACACAAGATTCGTGGTTGTGATATGTTGTGATGTGTGTTGTTTTGATGTTGATCCCGGCCGCCATTCTTTTAAAAAAAAATGTACCTTACCATGATGATGCATACAAACACCGTGAACTATCAACTAGCAACCCCAAAGTCATCAGAAATCTATCTCAAGGATTCACATATGCCATGACGACACAAAAATGCATATGCCTGGTGGTTCGTGGGTCTTTGCATGCTTCCTTCCACTAATACGCTTGCAGTGCAGCAAAAGGGTGCTGCATGCAGCACCCTTCTGCAGTCACTCATCCTCTTAGACAGGAAAGAGAACAAAAGAACGTTTGGGAATGTGCAAATAATGTTAACCATGATTATGGACACCAATCCAACAGCTATGATCAGAATTCACATGGTTGTCCAACATCTCACGAAAGTTGAAGACACATTTCCTCAATGTCTGTGGACTTGTTCATGTCCCATTCATGCTCTTCATGGTGATTGAGGTCATCACCATGAAGGAGACTTGTCTATGTTGAGTTTTGCCAGTTGGATCATGTCCTCAGCTCGCCTTGAGCCACTTGCCTATCTCCCGCGCACGGCGCTCACACCACGCATGGATCGCGTTGGCCTGATTCGGTGCGCTGCGGCCGCTTCGGCGGGTTACTGTGAATCCACTTGGCCGCTGCAAATGACCCTCTGGTAGGACTGCGCCGACGCCTAAGGTGCACTGGATTTCTACAAATGTATCCAACGATAATGAACGCTAATCACGTTATGATCCATTCACCAGAAACATGAACTTGAACAACACATTTGTCCGCTTTGACCTGTTCAAAGTTTCAAAGTTCAGTATCTTGAATCTCTGAGCTGTGACAGCTATGAGCAACTGCTTTGAGTTGTGTAGCCGGCATAGCACGCACGAAGCCCGCCCCACAAGTCACCTATATAAATTAACCTGACAGGATACAAGTAGCCATGACGCGGCTCCCATGCATTGCTTCTCAAAGAAGACCCTCGAAAAAGACACTCTGGCAATTCAACCATCTATATACCGTGACCCGGACGTCAAACGTACCTCTTCCTCTTTAAATTAACAACTCGACAGCAGCCCAACTTCCAACACTGTTCCGTGGTGAAAACCCACAAACCCCGCGCGGGTCGAAGAAAACAACATATGCGGTCGCAGTTGTCCAGGACCTTCTGGAGTTCAGGCCTGACCGCGTCCAACCGCACGGAAACATGGCGCTCATGGTGTCCCGACGGCGTTTTTGGTCGGTGCGTCGACACAGTGGTGTTTTAGGTCGACGGGTCACTATAGAGGCCATGTTTCTTTTCCACTATAAAACTGCAGTTTTTGTTGATGCGTATACGGAGTATGGAGTTGAGTGTTCCGGAGCTGTTGTGATGCGGGGTCTTGAGAATGCAAAGAGAGGCCCCGTGTTGTCCATGACGGATGCGGGTTAGTGAACTGCTCCGTGATGGCAGCCTAAGCTGTCCCAACTGGCCGTTGAAACAACATGTTTTGCACCAAACAAGTTTCAATAATCCACCAAGATGAAACAAATAACAAATGCAAGAATACACGCAAAAGGGACGGCACACCACGAAAAAACTCTTCACTCCCAAAACTTGCAGGCAATATACAAAAACAAACCCTGTTCGGAACTGTGTACTGTAAGTGCTGCTCCCGCATCGTCGACCCCGATGTCCACATAAAACAAGTCGTCCAAACCACGACGGTCCTTGGCTGAAAGATCGGTGTGGCGTCTCTAAGCGATGGGATGTCCTGGCTGACCGTGTCAGCGGCGCATGACCGCTCGTGCGGGTGGTCCGTCATGAAAAGGAACAGATTGAAACCAAGAGATGTCCCAGGAGGAAATATGCAAAAAGAGATACAAGTCAATGTGGGTGGATTTGGATATATACATGATGGTATCATGATTGCACCCCCAAGTTGCGTTTGTGCAACGCATACGTTGTGGTCAACACATCCCCAACCTGGCTCTTGAGCACCGCGTTGATGGAGCTCTTGAGGTCTTCACCCCGCCTGTCGGGCACGCCAGGGCGCTGGTCTCGGGCCCGACGAGCTGACGGCTGCGACACCGACGGCTGCGACCACGAGCTCCACGAGCCTTCCACCAGCCGTCTCCAAACGCGAGACGAAAGGGGAGTGTGGAGGAAAAACATTCCATGTCCCATGACCGCTTGAAGTGTGGCTTGGTGGCTCCCGCTGATTGCCCCCACACTGCCCCCTTGTTGCTTCCACCTTGACCCCTCATTGCCCCCACGCTGCCCCCTTGTTACTTCCACCTTGCCCCCTCATTGCCCCCACGCTGCCCCCTTGTTACTTCCACCTTGACCCCTCATTGCCGCCCCCTTGTTACTTCCACCTTGCCCCCCCTCTCGTTGCCCCCACGC